GAGTACATTTAAATTCGTTGATTTTGAATGAATTATTTGCTTTTTAAATGAATGATAAAACGTTAGTCAGATCGTGTCACCAACATAAATATCAAAAAATGTTTTCTCTCGTCTCGATCTCTACTTATTCTTAATTATATTCAATCGTTTTTCGTAATAATACATTAAGTGACCTGTCTAGATGTTGAGAGAAAAATGTTAAAACAAAGTAAAAGTGCCAACTTTTTGCAAACAAATGAAATAGTCCACGTAAAAATAAAAGAAACAGCTACAATTCATCTTCGCTCGAAGAATAAAACTTCTCCTGCTAATGATAAGCGCAATTTTCGAAATGTAAACATTATTAAATAGAAATCGCTTTGAAAATTGCTGAAACTATCCATATGGAGGTGAGACCTCTTGTTATCATATCGACTACGTAGAAAAATCGCACATTTGTTTGAGTTTTTCGAGCTAGCCTTTGTGATCATCATTATCGAAATAGCTATCTAAAGAAGACTATCACTAGTAAGTCAGGATTATCACGATCTATGAAACTTCATGATCATCTATTTTATCGAATATACTTGAGCCATGTATGTCTTATAACTTTACGATTTTGACGCTAATATTCAGGAAGTATATGGTTGTTTTATTACTGAAAAAACAGAACACTTTCGACAACTTAAGAAATTTACTGAAATTTCGTATATTTTACCTCGGATGTTTAAGTCGTTTTGATGTTTGATCGGTTTCTGGCGTGTACAAGTTCTAAAAACATATCTCTACCATCAGAAGTGGACGTTATCTTCGCAGAAGATCATGGACTATAATTTTTGTTGATTTTAGGTTTGCCAGAAGGTCACATGGAAGCATGTATATCGGGTGATTTTCATGCTGTTGAAACTTGGTGCAGCACAAATATTCCAAGTTATACAGACACGGTCACCATTCCTGCAAATATCACTGTATTTGTTTCTGCTAATCATTCATTCGAGTTCGGTCAACTAAACATCTATGGAATTTTGCAGTTACATCCTACTGCATCTTTTCCTGCGAATCATTCATTTACTCTTACTGTCTTTAACGGTGGTGTATTGGCTGATTTGAACGATGAAAGTTATACTCTACCCAATGCCACATGGTTCTTACCCAATGGTTCTGTTTTTTATGTTTATATTAATGGTACAATCAGTACGCACTTACAAACTCAGTTTTGTACTCAATTGACGCCACCAAAATGTTCCACATTGTTCACCAAAGATAGTGGGCCTTTGACAGTTGCTGTGAGTCTTCGCGCTCACATTGCTATATTAAAAGGTAATAAATGTGTTTCTTTCTTAACTTTCTTAAAACTATGAATCACAAATATTTCTTCTTATGTCCAAATCATTCTATTTATCATACAGTTAGATTGTAAAACAGCAGAGCAATCTTTAGTCTCAACTGCTTAAAAATTAACACAACCTAGAAGAGAATAAAAAACAATGTCTTGAACAGTGTAACAGAGTATTTTTTTTTAATAATTCAGCTATCGCTCTTATTGCTGTACGATCTGGTTTTGCATCGTGGCCAGAAACATGGTTGGGAAGTCAACTGCCTCCTGATGATATTTGTGAGAAAAACAAACAATGCGACCTTTTGATTATGCCAAGTGTTCGACTTGCAACAACAAAACACGATATTCGATCACTCTTCAAGTCATTCTCTTCGGAGGTGCAACGACGAAATTTGTTGAAGAAAACATCACATAGTCGGATTTACCCGATTGACAGTTTTATGGCAGATGATTAGTCTACTCAGACTATTTGTCGTATTAAAAGTTCAACTTAGGAATAGTATTACACATTTTCCCATTTTCTTTGCTATTCTTAGAAGTGTTCTTTGTTTAATACTGTATAATTATTCATTTCTCCTTGAATAAAGTCATCTGGCTTTGTCTTTAGAAAGATAACCAGAAATTATCCAAAGATTGGCATTAATAATAGACGGAAGATGACGGATTTCTAAAAAATCTGTTCATGATTTTGTCTTACGATGTACATCTTATAAGTTTGTAGTCCATTCGAAAGACAATTCTTTCAATGAGTCGCTTTCCAAAAGAGATATTGAAAATGCTCTATCATGCAAAGTTCAAACCGATAGAAACTGTCAGACCAGATTGGACCGGCTGATATATTGGCATCAGTTGCTCTTAATTTTTCTGACTCAATAACAACCAGATCAAGCCCTCGATTAGTCATATCTGACTTCTGATCACTACAACAATGCCATAAGAATTCTTTTTCGCGCTTTTTACTATTTATTTCCATAAGTTTTTTCTCTTTTGGTATCTATTAGTGAACAAAAAACTTTATAGGTCTAAGAATTCTATATCAGCTCTCCACATTCATTAACTATACAATCAGATGCGTACGTTATTAACTAATTGGGTATTTAATCGTTATACTCGCTTTGTTATTTCTTATGTCTGTGTAAAATATATCCTATAAATAGTAGGGAAAATATAAGTAAATCGATAATAAACTACTATGCTAAATGATTATTCAATTTTGTTTTGATAATATAACTGGATACGAAAGTAAGTTAATAAAATATGATAAGTATATTATGATGAATTTTGACTAAATAAAATAGTCTGATGCATCTTTTTTCACGGAAATGATTCTTATCATCAATGAAAACTGTTCAGGTTTCGAGAAAAAAAACTCATAGCGACTAGCAGAAAAAAGCTGCATTTACTGCACAGTAAGAAATCCTCTACCAGACCAGACCGATTGGATCGGGACGAACCGACCGTTTACAACTATGACACAAGAATCCATAGAAGTTGATCGAGGTTCTTCACTACACTTTTTCAGATCTCGAAAGTTTGAAAAGGGTTTTGGTTTTCTAAGGAGATATTTCAGAAACCGAAACGATATCTCCAGACACCTGTCTAGGTACTAAACTAATTTTAAAGACAATACTTGTTTGCTAAGATATCTTGACTGTTTCTGAAAATATGTTCACAGTGTCGAAAACGGTTTTTGAATGTTTAGAAATCACAAAGGTATTTATGAAAATGCTTTTGGGAACCAAAAACCTCTAGAGATTTTAGGAAAAGTTTCCAGACGAGTTGGGTTTTCAAAGAAACCGATTTTTTAAGAGTGTAGATCAAGAGTTCGTATCAATTAGTTGAGTAGAGGCTTGTATTTGACTAACGCAGCAAGTCGTCGTACTGAAATGTTCGTTATCGGTAAAAGTTCTTATCCTGTACGTATGATAAGATACTTGACATCAGTTGACTGAAAATCATTCCTGTTCATACATTTACTTTAAATCGAACGTTGAAGTCACTTGAACACCGATGAGTTCACAGGGCTCATTTAGGAAAAATGTCTTTTTATTGCCCAAATGTCCTTTTAAATTATTCCAATAATTAGACCTTTTTTGAACTGCTATAATTTATTTTAATTCCATTGCGATATACTTCATATATTTGATCTTCAACAAATTACTTATTAGAAGGAAAGGTTTGATCAAAACAGCTATTCTACATTACTCAGTAGTTGAGTATTGTAGCAACAAAACGGAGGAGTAGCTTTACCACCACCATAGATTATGATGGTTATTGAGGTACTTCATATATGGGGTGAATGTGGATGTGGGTATGGGTATGGTCATGGTCCTTTTCTTCATTCAAACCTATACCGCACATCCACATCCACACCCTTTTTTCTATTCAAGTAAATTCACTTTAAAAATTATTCAGTTATAGCTGCCGAAACTTCTTTTTAGAGTTAATATGTCAAAGGAAACATCGAACAAAAATCTGATTAATAAAATTTCTTTAAAGAATGCGAGATCTTCGCTCAAATATTTAGTTAATGATTCATTTAATTTTCTTCCTTCACTTTCCAACATAAATAACACGTGACGAAAAGAAGAAGCACAATATTTTCTTTCGTTCTGTTTTTATTTTGTCACAAGTAAAAAGAAATAATTTTGACAAGAACATTCACAATTACTCATATTAATAAGAAGTAAGCATAGAAACTTCCAACATAGAATATTTCTATCTCCAATGTCTAATAATATAAATCCATCGATACAAATATTACCAGTGGAAATATTTCATCGTATTTTTGATAGTCTTGATGTTCAAACTATTTTATTTTCAATTCGACCAGTGAATCAATTATTTCGAGCATTGGTCAATAGTTATGATCGGTATAATTTGGATTTTAAGTCAATATCAAAGTCAAATTTTCATCTATTATGTCGTTCAATTAATCCTCAAAATGTGATATCATTAAAACTTTGCGATGATGAATATACTCCAAATCAAATAGCTTTATTTATTTCATCGTTTCGTCTTCGACAATTAACTCGACTTCATTCAATAACTTTATTTGGTATTGAAGAATTTCAATTGAACATGATTTTAAAACGTATCAATTTAAATTTGCTGACTTCATTTTCATTAAATATTCGACAATATGATAATAGACGAAAAAAAACGACATCAAATTTTCTTTCATTAATTTTAGGACAATCTAATATTCGAAAAATTGAATTGAATATAAAAAATGATCGAATATCTAGTATATTATGGCCCGTCAATTCTAGAATCAGATATTTAATTATAGATTCAGAGATTAGTTTGGACAATATGTTAACTATTTTTTCGTGTTCTCCTCAACTTCATACACTTATTCTGAAACAAAATTTACCAAACTTGATTAAGAATATGAAACAGACATGTTCTTTTTCACAATTAACTTCATTGACCATAGAACAACTAGATGTTACAATCGATCAGCTTGAATTATTTCTTTTGTTAACACCATCGCTAATTTATCTTAAATTAATTGGTGAACAATGTGAATTAGATGGTAAACGATGTGAACAATTTATTCAGATAAATCTTCCTTATTTGAATAATTTTGAATTTTTTATTGATATAATTAAACTAGTTCCTCAAACTCAAGAAGATATTGAATTAATAATTGAATCATTTCGAAATTCATTTTGGATTGAATATAAAAAATGGTTTGTAGCCTGTCAATTGAAGTCTAATGCTTTACATAGGATTCAAATTTATTCAATACCAATATGTAAATATGTTCTTCAATATGAATTAGATTCAAATTATATCTATCGTTCTAATTCGACAATATTGTTGAACAATGATCTATTTACAATAAAGAATGTCAATGAACTTGTTTTACCATTGAAATTATCAACATATGGAATAGTGAAAGAAGTTTGTCATGAAATGAATTTTATTAAAATATACTGTTTTTTTTTTATTTATTTGTAGGAATTAACAAGAAACAATTCTATGTTTCCTAATGTAACTAAAATTAATTTAATGATTGAAAGACAATCTCCTATGAGTTCATTAGACTTTCTTACTTCAATAATCAATGTTTCAAAATTGGTTGAAGTCAAATTAGAAAGTTATTGTTTCAACCAAGATAATCAAAATCTTTTAGTTAAAATTATTTCTATTCTTAAACAAGCATATTCTCTTTCATCTTTGATAGTTCAAAGTCGTTATGGTAAATATCGATTATATCCATTTTTGAATCGTTTATGTTCAAAAATTCCACGTCAGACTAAATGTTTACAAATACCAATCAATCAATTAAATCAAATTGAAATCATTTTTAAACGATGTCAAAATTTGTCAGTTGTACGATTTGAGATAACACGTTCGAAATTTTCTCAACAGGTCATTGACTGGTTTAATCAGAACACTATGAATTCAACATTTCGAAGACATAATGGATGTGACATCGTATGGATTGGAAAGAAAATAAATCATATCAAAGATAGTCATAAACGAATTAAGTTGGATGAAAATCAATTCGATTCTTAATATATTTTATATATTTCATCATATTTGAATCAATAAATAAGCAAAAATAATTTTCTAATTTATTAAATTCCAATTTTTAGTATTCTAAAAATGATTTCATATTCAAAGCTTGTCAGAAGACTTGCTCTAATTTATTTTCCTTGTATATAAAAAGAAAGATTTCATTTGTTTGTTGTAGTGAGGATCGCTGTAATACTAATGCCCACACCCTTTTTCTCCATTCACGAGAAACATGTATGAGCACAACGGTAATTGATGTTGGCATAGACATCGAGATATTGTCATCGGCATAAATCCAAATATTGCAATCAAGTCCGATTGTCATAAATATTATTTGAACAATCGTGATTCAATCGCCTATTTTTGCATGATTTTGATGACATGGGTTCTTTTAATCATCTTTTATTTTGAAAATATATATTAATAAATGAATTTTTTGGCAATGCTGCGTTATTGAATGAAATATTATCGTAATAAATTAGACATCAATCCACACTAACATCCATATTTCAAACGATTCATCAAGCAATTTATGGTCAAACGAAATACACATACAGTCCATAGATTAACGAAAGATGTGCTAAGAAACGTTGGCAAATCAATAATTTAGAATTGAAATTAATTTTTATACCAATAATGAATGAAGTCTTGGATACCGATCCACCTACTCTAGATTTGAAATAGACTTAAAGTGATTGATTGTCATCCAACCAAAAGAAATATCACTTTTCGAAATCGAGAAAGATCTATCAGAATGTTGATCATTCACTAGAAAATAAATTTCACGAGAATCAAAGATTTCGTTCCCCTCTCGACAGCAATCCATAAGCTGCTCTCTACTGCTAAATAAAGATGTGTATTTTCAAATAACACATGACTCTTAGATCGTTATGTGCCCGTTGTCTAGATGTTCTGTCTTCAATTTTTTACACACAACGGCTAGCATCATGCGTATGATATGAGCTCGAACAATTCGAAATCTTCGTGAACATCCCTAATCAGAAATCAATGATAACGCGTCGAAGTACGATGTTTCATCATTGTGACACATTGTCAAGTGAATTGGTAAATGAAATATTAAATTCTGATTTTAGTAAATCGGTTTTAGAGATCCTAGCATCTTTAAAGTATTACTATTTGTAATAAATTATACATTAATCAATAGAATTAATCAAGATGCGTTGAATGATGTAAGTTTTGTCCATTGCACATTCTGTGGTGTAAGTTTTGGGAGAATACATTTTGCGGTAGCGTATATATAAAGTTTTCGAAAACTTTTAATCGTGAAGTTCGTCTTGGTGGTTAGAAAATATATATCAATCGATAAGCGCGTCAAACTGATTCGAATGCAAAAAGTTTTGCATGTGACTCAATTTGTAGAACGAATCGTCTGATGAAATACCTCGTAGGACTCTGTTGTGTATGAGTTCATAGTTTCTTTCTAGTTCGTCTAGAAAATTTTGATGAAGTTAAATAATTTTATTGAAAAATATTCGGTTATTGTATTCGAATTGATTCATAGACGATTAAAAATTAATTAGAAGTAGAAAACATACAAGATGAAACAAACTGATTTTTAATTTGGGGAATCAATTTGAAACCAAGAAATTAATTTGTTCCTCTTGGTGTCTACTACATTGAACATACATATATGAGATGCTCGTTTGTATTCATTAGTAAATATAATGATGAGCAAACAGCACATTGGCATGGAAAAAGAAATAGCATACGAGAGGCATCCGGATGTTTTTTTTATTTATCGATGTTACTTGATGATGTTATTTAGTGCATAGAAACAAAAATTGCTGAGAGAAAGATTCTTTAACGTGAAAATTCTATTGGAACATAAAGGATATAAACAGAAATTAGCACACTAGAGCTTTATTACAGTATAACCAGAGATGAACAATGTTATCTTTGTCACACAAATAATAAAAATTGTACCATTGCGTGCTTTTCTCGACGCAAGCTCGATGAATTGTTCTATTCACGTCTTGATAAATCGTTACATCCGATAGTTGTGATATCATATTGATGAAAACTCGAGTCAAATCACTGAATGTATCAATTGACAGAGTGAGCCTTTCGACAGAAGTAAAAGAGTGATAGAAAGCATCAATCTCGCATAAAGTCAGTGGTTCGCTGCAGTCAGGAATGCTCATTGACAGTTCAAGACAAACAATGTTTGGTCAATGGTGAACAAGGAGTAACTCGAGTAGAACAGTCGATAGTTGTAGTGAACGTAAACGATGCAAATTGTGCACAAAATTAATAATTACATCATTCGACATATTCGTATCACGTCGAAAAACAGAAAATGACGTGACGTGTAGTAAATCAATATGTTTAGTAGCATAATCGAGCTTCAAGCTAAGACTAGTACTGCAACCTGCTAACGACATACACGTAATATGTGTAAATGAACGTAGAACTTCCATGTAGAATGGATTATAATAGTCAGCCATTAAGTGATTGACACGAGAAAATGATGTGGATGTTCGTTCTATTGAGGCAGTAATGATAGCATCTTTCATATACTATAATGTCTAATCATCAAGACAATAAGGATTTGAATAAAATAATGTGAAACGAGTGTTTATACATCGATCATATGTCACATACCAATGTTTCTCTTCAAGCCAGAATGAAGTACGAAATGATGCGAAATCGATAGGTGGTTGCGTAAACGTATTCTTATCGAAGATAAATTTGAACTTGAACGTCATCATTGTTTTCAACAATCGGACCCACCAGTAGCCATCAGCCATATCATACTGTATATTATTGGCGACGATTGTAAAATTGACCAATTGGGTCATTGAATAGAACATATATTCGATTTCATCCAATGTAACAAATTTCACTTTTACGGTTATGTGACCCATTGTATGAGGCAAAGGTAGACGAATGTCAGATTTACATTGAAACAGATGAAGCGTTGTATCCAGTGCTTGCAATGCGGAATTCATTTCTAAGAGAGATTTCAACACAACACGAATACCTTTCAGAGACAGATGTTCGATCAACGATTTCTTTGTTACCGGACAAGAATCAACAATGAAAACGTCGTTACCTCTAATTCATACTTTCACAGAAAGGCGTTTCAGCGTACGAGAATTGTATAATAACTTGCGCAGCAACTCCGACACCATCGATACATATCTTTAAAGCTATAATACCATTGTATTGATCGGAGAATCTCAATGAGAGAATTTGCAATGATACATGAGGTAGATAAGTGCTGACTAATTCGTCAGATTGTTCTTTTTTCTCAGCAGATGAAGTGAAGTTGAAGTGAAATCGTGGATAGACGAGACAAACAACACGAAGACTTTTGTTAACGAAACACGTCGACGAAAGAATATCATCCCTGGAAAGATCATCAGGAATTATGTGAAGTAATTCGACCAGTAACTTACTCAAATAATCCGATATGATATTCTATTGGTGAACGGTGAGAAATGACTATATTTCATTTTGAGAGAACATATATAAAGGAAACGAAACAATGACTATTGTGTTCGTTGTCTAACACACTTTCCTCGATCATTACATGAAAATGTATGGCAATGCCATTAACATCTTTATTTTCACTTTAACATAGACAATAAGTGGTGGCAACGTATATTACTTCACCAATCGACACCAATAACGGCATTTGATTCGGTCACTAAATATAAAGCAATTTTATCAAGATCTGAAAAAGAAAAACTAAGTTATGAACAGAAGGAATTCTCAAAATTAAGTTTAAAAAACACCCGACTGTGCGTGCTTTTTTTACCAATCTATCTGCAAATTATTTTCTATCTGATTAAATGCCTTTCACTATTCGCGGAAAAAAATTCATTGATTGTGCTTTTCGTTGATTTCTTTTTTTCAATGTGATGACTTGTTTAAAAGATAAAAACACTGATAAGACGTTTGTCTATTGACACACAAGAATCACACATGCAACATCATGGCTAAAATATATCTCTTACTCTTATGAAGGATTCCTCACAGAAAAAAAGTATGAAACAATTACCAAATGAATTAGACCTAAATTTTGACATGGATTTAAATTGTATACATACATATAATGAGGAGCAATTTTGAAAATATAATTTTTTAAATCATCTATTGATTTAATTCATTTTTATAAATCATTTTTTATTATTTTCATCTTTTTATTTTTAATGATTTAATTTTATTTGATATTTTTTATATCAAAATCTATTAGCGACAAAATTTTTTGTTGTTTCTTTTTTTCCTTTTCAATTTTTTATATAAAATGTTTAATTTTCGGCCTTGACGAGGCCATCGTCTGAACGTATTTGATGGTGATGAGAATGAAGATATGATGTTGATGATGTCGATGTTGATACACCAAAAAATAAAAATAAAAATAATTTCCATTTTTTTTAATTTTTAACATTTCCATGATGACTGTTGTACAAATTTCTTTTGTACGATAAGAATGGAATTTTCTTTGATAATATAAAAGAAATAATATAAAATTTTAAACGAAATTTTTTGTTTGCTTTTCTTCTAAATAGAGAAAAATTATAATACGAACCATGCCAGTAGAATTGCTTTGATAAATATAATATCTAAATTTTGACATGGATTTAAATTGTATACATACATATAATGAGGA